GTGTTCCACAAATCGCTAACCTGCGAGTTGGCTCTTTGGTCAGATCTGCTCCTTGTTTGACAAAACGCAACGACCCGTACAGCAGAAACAGTCAGCCTGTGGCTTCACAACAGGCCTGCGGATGACATCATGGTTGCTATGTCCATCTTTTATCTACTTAAGTGCTGATTGGGCAGCCCTGTGTACTCCACCACCTCCATCTTTGTTGTCGTTTTATTTTACATTTATTTGTTTAAGAAATTGCTTTTAAAGTTCAATACATGCGAGTAACCGCATTTAATAATCTCAGTATTAAACAACCATTTTGCCATAGCAAGCCACCTTAACTCTTCGCCTGTACTTTCACATAGCAACAAGAAGCGCCTTAAATTCTGATGCGAGTTGACAGCCTTGACTTAAATGACTCAAATCGAAATGACATATTTGAGTGTATTTCAAGGAAATTTAAGTCGACACGTTCTAATCCTGCTCAGCTTGTGACTGACACAGTAGGCAGGCACAGCAGTGGGGAGGAATCTGTCCCTCAAGTCTTGTCCACTTGCATCACAGTCAGTCGTCACCGTCACTGTTACTGTGCCGTAATGTCTTTCTCTACTGTCTCGTCGTCTTGTCTCTGTGGTTGTGTGAGGCTTGCTTCACATCTGTGTCTTGTTTTCTCTTCCTCTTCCCCCCCTTTTATACTTCCTCTTCTCTTTGTGTTGGATGAGAAGGCAAGTCCTGGGGCGCCAGAGGATGACGGCAAGTTGTCGGTAGGTCCTGTCTGATTGACACTCCCCCGTCTTCTTCTGTGTTTGTCCCTGTTTCTGTGTAGATGTATTAGAGCAACTTCTGTTTCTCCCGCCATACTGTGAAGAAGACATGTACACTGTTATCTCTAACCCTCAGCCTCCCTCTGTGCCGAGAGTAGCTCCGTCTGTTTCCCAAAGCACTTCCTTTGCAACAGTTGCATTTGTGTGCAGCATGTAAAAGGCAATCGAGGAGGAAGCCTGGATTCTGAAAAAACACTTTTAATGCTTACGCAGTTCCAGCAGGTACAAGAGCTTCCATCCCGAATGCAGAGCAAGCAGATAAAACAGCAGACGGACATTCTCTGGTGTCGTACTGAGAATCTACAACTTTCTAACCCTCACACGAGTCGTGTCGTTCCGCTTGTCTCCCTTGCCTCCCGCTCACACCCATGGGAGGCTGTGAATTAGCACCTGACACCTCCTTTGCCTACGCATCACCTCTGATGAGCCAAAGGTGGACACATTCGCAGCAAGCAGCTGTCACCTGCAACGGTGCCTAATTTCCCACAATTCTCAAGTTCCACCTCGGCTGCTGGAGCGACCTTGGCGAGGGTTGTTTTTTTTTTTGGTTTTTTTCTTCCGCAAAAGGAACTAAAAAAATGCCACACTAAGTGTAAATGCCTGTGACAAGCCCACGAAGCTTATATTTTTAAGAAGCTGTAGTACTTTATGATTTTTTTAAAACTCGGTTGCAGGTTCTGCTTAGGGTTTTTTTTATGTAAAAGAGGATTAGGGAATCATATTCCAACTGGAAGCTTAATTGAAGGTGGTAGCACATCATATGCTCATGGACAAACATTGCAGTGACACGAATCCTTCTTTCTGTAATTAAAATGCTGTGGATTTCACAACAGTTAAAGCACCAAGTCCCTAGAATGATCTTCCCTCTAATGTAAAAATGAAAAAGCCTACAAAACAGCATGGTTTTCCCACATTTAGCTCAATATTCTTGGATTAGAAATGGCTTTAGAGGAGTGCTCGCATTAAGGACATTTACTGGATACTGAAAGATTCCCATCCCCAGCAGTAGCAGAATATTTGACTGACGCTTGTCTCCCCTCACAGGCGCGGCCTCGCCTTCAAAGGGGAGGTAGTTCTGCCTCGCTGCACAACAGCTTGATGCGGAACAGCATTTTCCAGCTGATGATCCACACGTTGGACCCTTTAAGTGAAGGTAAACTGCACACAAAAATAAGTTTTTAACACAAAAGACATACAGCACAGATATTCTTTTTTTAACTGTCCAACATTGTGTATTTCCAGATTGACCGAGCCTGGATCTTGTCTTCATTCTTGTCTTTAACTCTTAAAATTGTATTTTGAGATGTGTCAGAAGTGGATTAACTAAAAACATGTAATTCCTTCCACAGGAAGAGTGCTGTTGAGCTCACATTTTCTTAACCAATGAATAACATAACGGAGTGTTATGATGAAAATGTTGGCTTTTATCTATTCACAAGCTCCCCGCGTACTTCTTTAAACACAGAAGCTCCACTGTTAACATTGAAAAGTACTTGTACAGTGTTGTTTGTATATTTTAAAAAAAAAACAAAAAAAAAAACGGTCCATGTAAGACAAAGTGCACTTGGGGCTGAGGTGAAACACCGTTCTCCTTTAATCCAAGTCCATTAGCTTAGCTAAGAAAAACGTTTAAAAAAGGCGTCAGCGTCAGTGCTCGGCACAGGGGATGAATATGTTAATATGCCGGGTGAGGCGCGGTGTCATTCTCAACCCATCCTGAACGTGATGAAGGAAAAATGTTTATGAAAAGCAAACAGGGAGCAGGGGTTTGAGGAGGGTGACGAATCCTAATCCTTAAAAATGAATATTAATGTTAAATGCTGAATCCATCTTACTAGCTGATGTCATTTTTCCTCATCTTTTTCTTCCACCTTTTTGGTTTTCATGAAAGCTTACATTCAGTTTGGTTTGTTTGGCTGAAAAAAAGCATCACTGTCAATACACAGTAAAATATCTCATAGGTCCTACAGCAATGTGTGTTAGCACAAAAACAGAATAAATATTCTCCTTCTGGATTGATAGGACTGCATTAGCAATTGGCTGCTCTGTAGTCCAGAGGCATTTCAGCTTTCTCTGAAATGACTTTACTTTGCTTGAAAGCCAAGCTTGGAATGAGTCAGCTCAGGAAAGATTAATAAGCCTTAAAGTGCCCATTAACATGCATCAAATTGCTGTCGTACACTGAACCCAAGGCGTCCTGTCTCTGAGTGTATTCATCATCCCATCGTAGTGATTAATGGTAAATCACAGCCTGAGTGCAAGTCTGTAAGACCACTGTTGTGTATGCATGCATGTATATATGTACATGTTACACATAATCCACCCAGTTGGGTCCTCTTAGTGTCTTTTTCAAGGCATCTGATAGTAGTATTTACTAAGTTAAGCTAAGTTATGCGTGCAAGATATGAACTGAATTCTTTGTTTTCTCTTTGTTTTAACTGATTTATTTATTTGTGTCCAAAATAAGTTCCCATTTGCCAAAAAAAAAGTTTTTAAAATGGTCAAACCTACTTTAGTATGAAAGCAGCCGAGATGGCAGGACATACCAAATTTGATTGATGAGGTCTTCTGGCAAATTAACGGCTGGAAATTAATTCTCTGAAACAACAGCTACAGTGTGACATGACACAATCAATGAATTCATTATTGTCAAGAACAAAAGCAACACGTTGGGCTTCCGATGATTTGCATGTATTATTTTGAAATTTCCATGTAGCACATCGGAAAGTTTTCCTCGTACTCCAATGGACATGTACCCGTGATAAGTACAGACTTAAGTACATCTGAAAAAGCACTTATCAGAGGCCTCATTTCCTTGGAACGCTTAACAAGTTTATTGGCTGCAGGACTGAGGCCCAATCAAGACAGACCCTATTGGGAGATGAGCAAATATGTTCTATAAACATTTACTGGCATCATTAATGCAAAGGAGCGTTTACTGGGTGAGCTTACGGCATAGAGAAAGACGAACAGGTGCATCCATTTTAGTTGGAGGCTTGTGCTGTGTGTCCTTGTGTGCTCTTAGGCATTAAGTGTAGCTCAGCAGGGACGTGGGGAGCTGGCAGGGCTCCTTCCATACATTTTTCATTCGCATTTCTCAAAATAAGTTGTTCAGGCTTCAGTGCTGAAAGGTTCTTGTGCCAGTACTGAGAGCTGGTTAGCTTTTGGTTATTAGAGTTTTAGTGATTTAGAGTTTGTTAGATGTGTGTGTCCGTGTGTGTGTGTGGTCCTTGTATTGCAAACATTGTGGGGACTGAAGTGTTTTTACACATTATGGGGACAAAAAGCAAATAACAGCAACGATATAATATAAATCATATTTTCAAGGGAAGACAAGTTTAATTTGAGGATATTAGGTTAGAGCTTTCTTTCTTCTGCTCTGTTTTGTCTGTAGTGACCACAAAAAGTAGTTTGAATATAATCTATCTGTGTTGTTTCTTCAGCGTATGCCTTCATTGCAAAGTGCATTTTATATCGAAACATGTAAAACCTAAGATTTTAAATCTATGTGTGGCAATGTATATGTTTCTGTCATATCATGGGGATATGATTA